CCTGGGTGGGCGGCGCCTGCGGTCGAGGAGCCCTGCAGGCTGGGCTGGGGACACAGGCTGGACCGGTGACAAAGTCCCTGCAGGCTGGACCGGAGCGACCTTCAGAATCACCACTGGAACTGGAGACGGAGGAGACGTCAGACCCGAGGCGACGTCATCGGACGAGCCGACTTGGGAGGAGGCGACGTCATCAGACGAGCCGACTTGGGAGGAAGCGACGCCATCAGACGAGCCGACTTGGGAGGAGGCGACGCCATCAGACGAGCCGACTTGGGAGGAGGCGACGTCATTAGACGAGCCGACTTGGGAGGAGGCGACGTCATCAGACGAGCCGACTTGGGGGGAGGCGACGTCATCAGACGAGCCGACTTGGGGGGAGGCGACGTCATCAGACGAGCCGACTTGGGGGGAGGCGACGTCATCAGACGAGCCGACTTCGGGGGAGGCGACGTCATCAGACGAGCCGACATCGGGGGAGGCGACGTCATCAGACGAGCCGACTTCGGGGGAGGCGACGCCATCAGACGAGGCGACTTCGGGGGAGGCGACGCCATCAGACGAGCCGACTTCGGGGGAGGCGACGTCATCAGACGAGCCGACTTCGGGGGAGGCGACGTCATCAGACGAGCCGACTTCGGGGGAGGCGACGTCATCAGACGAGCCGACTTCAGGGGAGGCGACGTCATCAGAGGAGGCGACATCAGACGAGCCGACTTCAGGGGAGGCGACGTCATCAGAGGAGGCGACATCAGACGAGCCGACTTCAGGGGAGGCGACGTCATCAGAGGAGGCGACATCAGACGAGCCGACTTCAGGGGAGGCGACGTCATCAGAGGAGGCGACATCAGACGAGCCGACTTCAGGGGAGGCGACGTCATCAGAGGAGGCAACATCAGACGAGCCAACTTGGGAGGAGGCGACATCCGACGAGCCAACTTGGGAGGAGGCGACATCCGACGAGCCGACATCAGAGGCGTCGACCCTTGGAATGGAGGCGTCGACCCTTGGATTGGAGGCGTCGACCCTTGGATTGGAGGCGTCGACCCTTGGATTGGAGGCGTCGACCCTTGGATTGGAGGCGTCGACCCTTGGAATGGAGGCGTCGACCCTTGGATTGGAGGAGGTGTTGACTTTCATCCGCTTCTGGTCCTCTAGCTTCTGGACCGCCGGTCCCCGAACCGCCGACCTCTGGGCTGGTAACGTCTGCTTCTGGGCCTGCACCGGACCCATCTGCTTCTGGGCCTGTACCGTCTGCTTCTGGGCCCGCATTGTCTGCTTCTGGGCCGGAACCGGAACCGTCTGCTTCTGGGCCTGCACCGTCTGCTTCTGGACCCCCCCCCCCCCCCCCCCCCCCGAAACAGGCCTTGAGTGAACGAGCAGTGCTAGTGCTGAAGACAGGGAGCGCAGAGCGTCCAGTTGGAGCTGATTAGAATGGGCGCTCTGTTGAAGCCGGACCAGCTTAGCCCGTTGACTGGCCAGTTCAGTTGGCTGGATTGTGGGTGTGGCTCCACCTCCCACAGATGGCAGAGGAGCCGAGTGGACCGGAGGCGGGACAGCTGGTCCAGCCGGAGCCGCGAACAGTTCGTCCAGCTGGAGCTCAGCGAGCAGGTGGTCCAGCTGGAGCTCAGCGAGCAGATCGTCCAGCTGGAGCCCGTGGAGTTCAGCGAGCAGATTATCTAGCTGGAGGACTTGGAGTTCGATGGTCTGACGAACCTGGGCTGTCTCAACCTGGAGACTGGCATGCTCCGCCCACAGGGCTGCGAGCGCAGCTCCTCCTCCTGCAGACGCCGATTCGGCCGGAGACGGGACCGCTGGTCTGACCGGGGGCGTGTCCGAACTGGCTCGCCGAGCACGGCCAGCGGTGGGCTCGCAGCTCCGTCCTGAAGCGCAGGGCTGCGGTGGATTCTGGCGTCTCTCCCCACGCCGTAGACCAACCCCGGGGGAGCAGAAAGCCAGCCTCGTGCCCTCGAAGCTGGAGCGATCCTGGAGCGTCTCTCCCTCCAACCTCCCGTCCGGTTCCGGAAGGGCGGCGAGGAACGCCGAGGCAGAAGGTCGGGGACGCCGTCTGCGGCGAGGCGGAGCTGGAGCTGGGGAAGGAGAAGCCGGTCGATAGTCGGCGGAGAGGAACTGGAATAAATACTTCCATGGGAGGATCTCCCCGCTGGACCCTTCAGGAGGTCGTGTCATTCTGTCACAAACGTGCGTGCCTGGTGAGTGGAGCGGTGATCAGATGAGGATCCAAACGCGGGGAGGAACAAGGCGAACAGGTGAGTCCGTTTAACAAAGGTTTATTAGAAACACACGCTGGACACTGAAACAATGACACGACATGGGACACAGAACAGAAGGGGTTTAAATACACGAGGAGAGGGAGCTATGGTGATTGGGAAACAAGAGGCAGGTGGGAGCAATTAACGGAGAACAGACAAAACCTAAGAGTAGACAGGACAGGGCGTGACAATTTCAGTAGGGATATAAATTCCCTTCTCTCTGTACCTGTAGAATGCCTGCTAGGGTTACTGCCTAAAACACAAAGATGAAACTCCTTTTCACATTTTCTCACCAGATCCTCCTTGTTCAAACTCAACATTGTTTGTCGTTACTTTAAATGCCAAAAGACCCTCCAGCCTCGTGATACTTCCTCAGTATTTGACAACCTTTTTACTCACATCAGATAGAATTGATGCTTTTCAGACTGAAATAGAAGTAGTTATATACGTGACTACTTTTACAGTCAGCATCATTGGTACCAAAACTCTCATGCATTAATAGAACTGTAGTTCACGCATGGCATAACAGGCAAAGGGAGAACATTAGTTCCAGTCAGTTGAGTATAATTTGAGAAGATCAGTGTGAATGTGTAATTAGATCATACACTGTTGACTTTACTGATAAAATATTCATTTATTCCAAATTACTGTTATTGGTCTTTCAGTGTTGCAGCTGACTTTCTGATACATCAGGATTAATATAATTAGTGAGTAGCAAAGATTTTTGCCATATTTGAAATTATGCTGTAAAATAACACAAACAACTAGCCATGAGTGGTTATGCATTAAAAATAGTACTGTTATTGGAAGTATTCTGATTATTTTTATAATACATGAATTAGACCAGCTGTCTCTTTTTTTGAAGACATTTAATTGACTGTAATCGTTTTTCTATTTACTAAAATGTTTGCATTGCTTGACATTGCACCAGTTAAATGTACACAATACTCCCAAAAGTTTAGGGACATTTGCTTCCACATGCATGTGAATTTAAAGGAAATCCCATAAGGATGACCCCCTTAAAGATCGTGCATTTGCAGCGGTGGCTCCCAGACTGGAAACACCTTCCCCTTTTTACTGGGCAAGCCACCCCAGTTGCTCATTTTAAGATCTTTTTAAAGAATCGTTTATATTCACTAGCTTTTACCTCTAGTTGATCTTTGATCTCTACTGACTTTATATGCACCCTTGTATTGTTCTTATGTCGGTGTTCTTGTGCAGCGCTTTGGTCAATGCAAATTGTATAAATACATTATGTAAATAAAGTTGAGTTAGGTTAAAGCTTAACCCTCCCACTGTCCTAATGGGTGTGACCCCGCAAGGAAAGTTTACCATTGAGCAGGATTGATGGTTTATCCCTTGAGGTCCACGTGGCAGGGGTGAGGTGGTGCTCACTCCTCACCCCTGCCACATGGACCCAAGGTCAATGGTCAACTTTCCTTGTGGGGGCACACCCATTAGGACAGTGGGATGGTTAACAGCTAACTCCTTTTGTCATGGTCTGCGTCTGCGTCTCCCTCATGTGTCTCCTTGTGTGCTCCATCCCCCTCTAAGGATTTCCTTATGTGTCTCTTTGTGTTCCTCATGTGTCCTCTGGTCTGCAGCCCCTCCAGATTATCCCTCCTAGGTCCTGGCTCCTTTGGTCTCCCCCAGTCACCCCTCTGCAGTTTTTCTATAGGTTCAGCTTTTCATTTTATTAGTCTCTTTAGTGTGTTCCTTTCCCCACCGGTTTTTGTAGTTTTCCTTCCCCCTTAGAATATTAGTTATTTTGCTTCCTCTTCTTGTCTTTGGGTTTTTGCTCTTAGGTCATGTTAGTTTCCTCACCCTGATTAGTTAATTGCTTTCACTTGGTTTCTCTCCCCACACACCTGCAGCTTATCTTCCACTCATCATGCCCCAGTGTTTTTGACCCTGTCTGCATCTCTGTTTGTGGTTGGGTCATTGTTTTGTGTCACCCTTGTCTCGTTCCCCTCTCTAGATTTTGGTTTCGCATGCTTTTGGATATTCTAGGTTTTGTTATTGGGACTTATTGATTTTTGTTTTTGGCTCCCTGCCTTTTTTGGATTTATTCTTTAATAAAGGATTTTACATTATTTCTCCACCCTGTTGTCATCTGGAATTTCTGCATCTTTGGGTCCTAACCTCCTCCTGGCTCCCAATGTGACACCTTTGGGAAAACTTTCTGTAAGGTTTAGGAATATTTTCATGGAAAACTTTGACCCCTCTACCAGAGGGGCAATTGTTTCGAATGAGAAGTCCTTGAAAACCCCTATCCAGCATGTTTTGATTGGTTTCCTGCACCAACAAGCCTGATTTGAATCAGTGGTGATTAACAGATTACTACAGAGCTTGATGACCTGCTGAACATGTGATTCAACCATTAAATCAGGTGTGTTGGAGCAGATAAACAATGAGAACCTACTGGATAGGAGACCTCAAAGGCCAGGGTTAGAGAACACTGCTCTACGTCATCCCAAAGGTGAGCCATTGGGCCAAAGTCAGGGCTTTTTGCAGACCATCCAATGTCCTCCAGAACAAATGTGTACATTCATTTCTTTATTAGCATATTAAAACTCATGAATCCATTGATTAAGGGAAGTCCTTACTCTTTAGGTTATAAAAAATATAATTTGACTGTCTTTGTAACCAACAGAGTTTGTAAAAGGCTGTGAAATTCTTACAAGAAATTTGATGACATGAAACAAAACAAGCTCTCAGTACAGTACCCACCATAAACAAACAGAACATATTCTGCAAAGCTGGTCCCCATGTGGTTGCTGGCCTCACAGCGGTATGTGCCGTTGTCTGTTTTGTTTAGTGTGGTGATGGTTAGTTCTCTGCCTTCAACAATCATCCGCTCAATGTCTGGAAGATCTCCTCCATCTTTAGACCACAAAACTGGCTCAGGTCTATGAAGAGAAGACACATACAACACAGTGGTCAATATTTTTACACTTTTTCTTAGATAATCCAATTAATAAAACACAAATAAAGAGTCAACCCTGTTTCACTTTATAATCTTTGCATTCACTCACAAATTGTAGCTGCATATAAGGTCTAGCTTACATTGGATTGCCTATGAAAACACACTCCAGTTTGAAGTATTGTCCCTCCTGTGGAATAATCAGTGAATGTGTGATCTTCAGCTGGGGAGCATCTGCAAAGATGAAACAAAAACCCTGTTTTATAGCAGATCTGTGCATTAGAGGCCTTCATTCTAACACTAACAAAGCACAAAAAGGGTTAGCGCTTCACCCTTTGGGTAGCTTTTAGCTCTAGCTCCTATTCCTGTTCTGTTTTAGAAGTAATCCCTCGCCTGCAATCTAATCAGTCACTAATCCACAACAAATGCAACGTTAAACGGGTAGACATGACTGTAATCTCAGTCCTTGTATTTGTTCTCAATGATAATCTCATGCCTAATCCGTCTTTGCGGGCTAAGACTGTACTCACAGTGAACCTCCAGGACCTCAGTTGTCATATAGGGGCTGGACAGAGACACATGCTCCACACTGCAGGTGTAAGCAACCCCATCATCCCCTTTGTCCACCTGGAACTGGAGGCTACTCCTTACTGTAAATGATTTTCCTGTGGCGTTGACCTCCAAAGTCCCTGCAGAGTGTCAGAAAGTAACTCAAGTCAAAAACATATTTAACAACCCATATGTGATGGAAACAGTTTGGGATTCTTAAGCCTGGTTCACACAGCAGCAATTTTAAATAGGTGGTTGGTTTTCAAAACTTGAGAAACCACACATGTGGTAAAACAACATGGATATACCAGTCTTGATCCTACATTGTGGTGTAGAACTTGGCAAATACCACACATCACACACGGACCACTTTCACTCACAGACGTTACCTCTCAGAATGGAAATCTCTCAGACAAAACATAACTTCAAAGTAACAAAGCATGGTGGAGAAAGAGCGTACTGTGTGCTTACGTCAACTCGCTCTCTGATTGGTTAGACACCACATTCAAACGGCAGCACGTTTGTTTGTCCCCAAAAATCAAACCAGGACAATCCAACATCTTCAAAAGCCCATATCTATGATCAGCGTGGTCCTGATGTCTTTCTGAGTAGACCAGAGCACTCTTAACACACCACACAAGGTAGGATTACCTGATAAGATTATCTTCAGAGTCATGATGGTAATCGTGTGCAACACAAATTGTCAAGGTGGGGTAGACAATGGTGGTTAAAAACTGACATGATTATCCTGCCGTGACCCAAAGGGGTTTGAATGAAAGCAACTGGACATTTTTAGTTTCTTGAAGATGTTTAAATTAATCTTTGTGAACTGCCCAGACCTTTACATTGGAGAAACTAAACAACAGCTACACAAGCACATGGCACAACACTGGAGAACCTCAAGATTCTGCAGTCCACCTACACCTGAAGGATAAGGGACACACTTTTGAAGATGACAAAGTACACATTCAGGACAAAGAAGATATATGGTTTTAGAGAGGAGTAAAAGAAGCCATCTGTGTCATTAAACAGAGCCTAACCCTAACCCAACCCACCTTTCCAGCACTTACAATGCAGCTTTAAACCTAATTCCAAAACACTTTCAGTCCAGCTCACACCCTCCTGCATCTAATCAAAAGAACATTCCACAATTTGCCCTAACGACTTTGATGCCTCATCAGGGGGTAGGGAGGAGGGGTTAGTAGTTTTCTACAGCTACAGTGTGTAAGCTTGACTCTCCCATATTGCAGTCAGAATTGACAAACCTCCTTGGATGAGAAGCAAAACATCTATAAGAGACCAAAGAAGTCCCGTGTCCTTCATTCGAACCACCTTTTGGATTACCATGACCTGGATTACTGAATGTGAACCAGGCTTTAGATTTAGAAAGTATGAAAATTGAAGCTAAAATGTTTTTATTTTTCCCTACAGTGCAACGCGGGAGTGTTATTTTTTCACCTTTGAGAGAAAGAGGGATGTTATGCGTTTTGAGAGTCGAGGCAGAACAGAATTGAGAGCAGAGTGATGTGAGTGTTGACTGTTGGCTGGGTGTGTTTGTTCCTCCAGGACTTTTGCTCAAACATCCTACTCAAACAATCACTCTCCACCTGAAGAGTGAGGGGGAATTTTGTGGGTGCATCCCAGTTTTTCTTTCCTTTCTCCCACTTTTTATAAATTTCGAATATATTGCTCTTTAACAGCTTTTTTCCTGTCATATGCCGTCTTGATTTACAGAAGCATCCAAACTTATAATTAGATGCCTTCTTCTGAAGTTTTCTGACATTCTTACTATGGCGCTGCTGCACTTCCTTAGAGACAGCAGAACAAAGTTACCGAATATTGGCCGTTTCTCAGTATGCATACTTGTCTGTACTTGTGTACTTGCGTCCTTGTAAAGCGTGATCAACGATGGCCCAAGGACTGTTCCAGTCCTAAATATGTATCATGGCAAGTTTGCTCAAAGTTCCCAGATGTGTTCTTGCTCCACCCATTGTATCAAGGATGCATCAATTCATCCTTCTGCATACTTGGGACAGCAAAGTTTCCCATAATGCATTGCGTCACAAACCGTTAAACTCCGAACGTTGGAGGAGAAAGCTAGTAACTCTAATGTTTTACATTAGAAATATAAATAAAATAATATAAAGTTGTCTGTTATTGTAAATAATCGTGTATAAACTGTAAATTTTGCTGTGTGTGTTTGGGTTTTATTCTTCCTGATCCTTCAAAATGCTACTTAGCTAACCCACTATCAAAATAAAAGCACAGTGGCTCTGTTCTGATGAAAAACAAACTTTTTTATTCATTAAAGAGCAGGAAATGCTAGTATTTTATTAGTTTTGATCAAAAGTGAGCCAAATGTAATTCAAGTAATACATTTTTGTTGTTACGTTGTTAATTAAGGAACACATTTGACTTTTATTTTTATGTCAGCAAGAAGCAGCGCTTGATGATCAAAGCACTGTACAATTCAATTCAATTCAATTCAATTCAAAAATACTTTATTGATCCCAGAGGGAAATTAAGAGTTTCAGTACACACAATTCTGAGATCAGAATTGGTGACTGTGGTCATTTGCAACCTGAGTTGCGCTACCGTAACATTTGAGCTAATACAAGATAGAATATTATAACAATTTGGGTTCATCTGCTCTGATAGTTCCATCTCACTTTTTCATCCATTTTGTCCTTTGAAAGGGACGATCTGAAGCATCATAAGTGTAATGACAGCGAGAAAGATGCAACATTTCACTTTCTTTAAAATTTTCTAACTTTCTCCATGTCAAAAATGCCCTCCATCAATTTGGCTGACCACTAAAGCAAGTGCATGTGTAAAATCAAAAGCAGTAACAGTTAACGAAAGCAACAGTAGCACAAGCGTGCCCAGAATATTACTCAAAAGTACAAACGGGGGCATAGGAAGTACCTCTGTGGCTCCAAACACAAATCGCTGCTGCTTTTACTTTCATTTGTTGAGCCGCCTGCAGCACTGAAGCTGCAACAGAAAAGCTGTCAGTCTGTTTCCAGGCAGTTGATAGCATCACCAGAGAGCATGCTGTGCCAGTTTTTATAAGAATGAGAATGTGCCCAGGTGCACCTGCTTTGAACCAACGCCTTTAGAGGCCAGCTGATCTAAATTCAGGCATCTGGGGCTGACTGCTGTGACCACCGCCTCAGAATCTGAGCCTCAATGGCAAAATCTGATTTTCCTATAAAACATGAAGGTCGTTTAAGATTAGAACTCAAATTGGTAAATTAGATCAATTATTTATTTAAAATATTTTTACATGCTCATGTTTACTTCATCAATTAGATAATATCACATTGTAATTTATAAAATCAGAGATTTTATCAGCACAGAATGTGACCCAGTCCTCGCTAACAAATAAACAGTGCTTTAAATGTTCTGAAAAGTGGTGAATTGGTGTAAAATTTTATTTATGACCTTTGACTGGTTTTATTAGGTATAAAAATACATTACATCATACATTCCTTTACATGGAAGATATTTATTTATTATCTATTTTTTTGTTTTTACAGATTTATTTGTCAGCTAATCTAATATTAAAGGTCAACTTTACTCATATTTTTAATACCTTTGCAGTGGTCTCTAGTAGGAATGAATGCATTGTAAGTCGTACTCTGGGTTAAAAAAAAGCTCCGGTGCACCTGTTTGAGGACGGAGAATTCAGCAGGAGGAGAGAGTGGTGGCACATGGCAGGATAGGGAGCCTAAGTCTCCTCTCTTTCCGGTCGGCTCATGGATCCACGGAAGAAAAAAGAAATTAATTTAAGTCAACAGGGCTAAAAGTAGGGATGGGTACCGAATTCGGTACTTTTTAAGGTACCGACCGAATTCCACAGTACCGACCGAGCACCGATTCACGTCATTTCAAACGGTGCCTCGTTTCGGTACCCGTCCATCATAACGAGAGCTTGCCAAGAAGCTGCGCATGCGCAAGAGCGTTTTGTCGTCGCTTGCTGTGAACCAGTTGTAAACAGAGCAGCATGGTAGAGAGAACGCAGGCTAAAGCTTGGGTCCACTTCACTAAATGTGATGGGTAACTGGATGATGAAACCAGCGACAACTATCTAAGTGAGACATCCTCATCTTAATCTGCTCCGGTAGGTAAATATAATTAACTTGATATGTTAGCTTCCGTTTCGCTTTCTCCTCGGAACTCCGAAATTCCGACTAGAACAACATGAACGCGCTCTAAAGTTTGGCTTCACTTTACTAAATGTGACGGGTGAAGACGAAACCAGTAACGATCTAAGTGTGAGGCATCGTTTTAATCTGCTCCAGCAGCTAAATAAACTGTTTAAGATATCGTTAGCTTGATATGTTAGCTTCCATTGCTATCATTGTTATCAGCTAATGGTGCTTTCGCTTTCTCCTCGGAAATTCTAACTTCCCAGTAGGAAAAATCAAATGAAAAAAGATGGCAAAAGGAATGAAGATACACAGTAAATTTAGTTCACAGTAAAGATGTTTGCTTCAGTTTAATTATCAGCTTATAAAACTACGAGGGCAATGTTAAAATACAAACAGTTGTATGTTATTTATCGTGATATTTATCAAATATTGTTATATATTGAGAAAAATATATATTTAATTTTAAAAGAGAATTAAAATAAAAAACACTCAAAAGTATCGAAAATTGGTACCGTTAAGTACCGGTATCGATTCGTAGGTACCGGTAATTAGTACCGGATCGATTCAAATGTCAAAGGTACCCATCCCTAGCTAAAAGAGCTATTTTCTAATCCGCTTAGCCTTTTGCCTTGGGGCCCTCATTTATCAAGCTTGCTTACGCATAAAACGGGGTCAGAAAACTGCAGAAGCAACTTTCCACGCAAACTTTGGGATTTATGAAAGAAAACTTAGCAGAAAATGTGCGCAACTTTAAGTTGACTAAGGACCTGGCTTACGCACATTTTGAACTTGGAGAGCACCTGCAGTGCTGCTGCTGAGAAGGATAAAATTATGAAATCCTGCAGCATTATCACTTGTACTGCTTCGTTTTCACACAGAACAAGACCCCCCACACGCACACGCACACACACACGCACGCGCATACTCACACCCATGCACGCACACTCACACACACACATGCGCACACACACACAGCCTGAAGCGCA